GGCTGTGCCAAATCCATCTTGAAATAATAACTTCCACTGCTCTCCATTAGGTATGGTAAAGTGCAACGGAAGCAAATTTTGAGATGTAAGTAATGTCTGGCTATGTTAATCAATGGGCTGAACTTCTTTTCTTAATAAGAACAAAAGGACTTGTTTTCTGAATGAAGAACACAAACTCATTAGACAGATTATTCATTGTTTCCATTTGCTTCTTTTGCCTTTGAAACCCAAGAAAATTTGATTTTTTTTTCTAAACTAAAAAACAAGCACGATTCATCTTTAACAGGAATACCTCACCATGGAGTAGTGATAAACAAGGTAGTTTCACAAGCCATTACTACTGTAGTGAGTTTGATCCTCAGTGAGCCTGCTTTTTGTGGCTATATGCCAGACATGGCTTTGCAGATGACATCCCATTATAAATATTTAAAAAATAAAAACAAATAGAAAAAGTACAAAAGATAACAAGTCCTGGTAAAAAAAAAAGGGATTATTTAGGTAGAGACAAACGTTTTAGACATAGTTTTATGTTGTGTTTAGATAAATTTTTTCAATTGTAGTTGTGATAGAGTTAGTGGGTAGTTAGTTTTCTTAATTCATTGGGTGTGTTAGGAGTCTCACAGACACACACACGCATATATATATATATATATATATATATATATATATATATATATATATATATTACAATAAACGTGCAATCAATTTACAAATACATGAATTATTCACACAAAACTAATGCAAAGGTTAATGATTTAAATGGCGAGACATCCATCATCGTAAACAATTCAAATAGTATACAAAAACCTCCAGATCCGTTATGAAGGAATTGATCCTTGTTTATATAAATTTCTGCCGTATTAGTTGTTATTTTTACTACAAGCTTTTCGTCTGTTCCTACAGACATCTTCAGGTATAGAATAGATGTTGTTTTTTGTTTTTTCTCTTAGTAATAAGAGGACAATGAAAATATATGTGTTGTTGTATCCGAAAATGCTATTGAAAAAGAGTTATTGGTATTGGAACGCCTACAAAAGCAACGCTGAGTTTGATTTTAAATTTTTAAAAGTGTTTTGTTTTATACCAAATATGGTGATGAACAAATTTTTTTACTGGTAAATTTTTCTGTCAAAGTGGCATGAACTATATTGTTCAATAATTACAGTAATGTCGCACTTATTATCTAAAAGTCGCACTTGGATCAGTTATTTAAATTACAATAAAGGATCAATTCATTCATAATGGATCTGAAGGTTTTTGTATACTATTTGTATTGTTTGCGATGATGGATGTCTCGCCATTTAAATCATTAACCTTTGCATTCCAATAACCAACAATTACTATTCTTAAAAGAGTGCTCAATACAAAGTAGAGCAGATATAATTATTATTTATAAAAAAAATTATAACATAAGCATGTTATAAAATCACTACAAAAATAGCCATTTTATAACATACTTATGTTATAATTTATATATATATATATATATATATATATATATATATGCAGCTCCTAAAACAATAAAAGACTTAATCAATACAAAACTAAACAATAAACTAAAACTTGAAGGGGGAATTTACTCTATTACATGTAATGATTGCCACAAAGAATACATTAGAGAAACCACAAGAAATTTAAATAAAAGATTATATGAACACAAAAGAGCTATTTTACAAAACAACACATTAAATGCATTAGTTGCTCACCAGAAGACTAATGACAATTTTGATATAAAAAATGCTATTCTAATTAAAAAAAAAATTTCCCTAACAGGAAAAAGTTTACAAAGTGCTTTAATAGTGAGATCATTCATAGTAAATTTGCACCCAGGTTCTTACAATTTTCTACCATTCTTGGCAGATCTTCTATTATCACACTGTGTGATATTTAATAACAAAAGTGATGGAAACAAAAAGAAAAAGAATCTAAATGAAATCAGCTAGATTATATACCAAAAATACATTTAAAAAAAATATTTTTAAATGTAAAATTTCCAGCATCTCCCATTTATGTTTATGTGTAGTTGTATGAAAGTAAACAAACTTAGTCCAATGAAGTCACATGAAAACCTTTTCCACTTTGTTATACATCTTTCTACTCAAATTGTTTATATATATATATATATGTGTGTGTGTGTGTATAGGAGACTGTATAAACTATATACCCAGACACATGTAAAAATTTAAAAAAATTTATATCTTAGTTTAAAATTTCAACATCCCAACATTTTCAGCATTTGCCTAATTATAACCAACATTTGATTTTTTTATATTCCTCCTCACTTTCATATGCATATATTATTACATCAACAAAAAACATTTAGTTCACAGTAGTCCTAAAGGATGAAATGTGTCATGCAAAAATTATATGTGTGTGTGTGTGTAAGGTGTATGTAAGCAGCAAGAATTAATCCAAACACGTTTTATTAAATAACACCAACAGGGTCTGTCTATTTATTTTGTCTTTCCAATTTCTTATGTAAGTGTTTTAAAAATTAACAATAAACTGTCCAAAAGGTCTTTTATTTGTTATATATGAGTACTTTTGACTGTCACAGTCATTATCAAGAATTGTGAGTGTTCAGTATGTTAAGCAAGATGCATTTAACTAAATTCCAACAGTTTTAGATTGTTGGAATCAAATTTAACTCAGTTAAAGGTGATGTGATCTGCAACTGTAAAGTAGAAAAGCATGTATTGAGCATTGTAACATGCTTTTATTTTTATTTATTTTTTTATAGTCACATCTTCTATGGAGAAAGATATTTTATTTAGTGTTAGTTGTTTCTTTTATATTAAAATGGCTTCATGAATTTCAAGTCTTTCTTTGTAATGAGTCCTATATAACATTTTGGTGTTACCTATTAAAATTTGCTTTATATATTATTTTAGTTATTTGTGATATGTTGATCTATAAGAGCACAAATTACACTAAATTTTAACAAATGACACTTTAACCTACAAGAGAGTGTGGTGCATGTGTGGCTAATGTAAGAGTTTCATATTGTTTGTTGATTATTGATATTAGAGATACAATCTCCCAAAAGACATGAGAATTCATAAACAACATTATTTTTAATGGTGTCTTATTTTTTTTTCACATTGTGGATTTTTGAGGTGCTGAATTATTGCTAAAACTTGGATTAAACTTTTTGAATATTATATATAATATAAAAGGCTCAGACACTAATATTCCATGGTTATAATTTATTACATTAGAATTGTAATCATGATCCAAATCATCATTGATAGATCTGGTGTATTTTTAGAGCAGCAAGTACTTTCGAAAACTTCATGGTCTCATCATCAAGCTGTAATTTTTTCATTAGAAATAAAACTCTAAGACAAAATAAATGTATAGTAGACTGAAAGATGTTTTTTAAGAATGTTTTATTTATTAATGGTTATATAATATTGGAATGTGAAAGTCACAACGCTAGAGTTGAACTATTTCAAGTGAGAATTTTTTGTATTTTTTCCTTGGAGTTTTATTTCCTCATCACTTGAAATAGTTCAACTCTAGTGTTGTGACTTTCACATTCCTATATTATATAACCATTAATAAATAACACATTCTTAAAAAAAACATCTTTCAGTCTACTATACATTTATTTCATCTTAGAGTTTTATTTCTAATGAAAAAATTACAGCCTGATGATGAGACCATGAAGTTTTCGAAAGTACTTGCTGCTCTAAAAATACACCAGATCCATCTGAAAACAATTTTATACATAGTGATCACATCATTCAAGGGATTGTTAGTAAGTTAATGCTTATATTAAGTCTTTTAGTGAAGAGAATTTGCCATTAATTACATTAATATATATTAATATTACTAATTGATTCATTGTATGATTACCTCTTTATAACATAAAATATATAATATATATATATATATATATAATATATATATATATATATATATATATATATATATATATATATATATATATATGTGTGTGTGTGTGTGTGTGTGTGAGTGTGTATGTGTGTATTTGGCTGCTTGTTTCCAAATACACCTGTATGATGAAATTGCTAACTAATCTCTGTTGCTCTCACAAAGCCAATTTTGGCCATATCATGTTGAAACATCAGTTCTCATACAATCACCAAAGTTAAGCAACAATGAGCTTGGTTAGTACCTATATGAGTAACTCCTTGAAAATACCAGGTGCCGTAAGCTTGAATGTGTGGGTGATGTAATGGATAACAGCTTGGAATTGGGAATCAGAGAGCTGAGTTCCAATTCTAGCCAGATTCATTATATTCACTTACACACAAATACCCTTGGGGAATGTATGAATCAGCCTCTTCTCTTCCCAACTATGGGTTAAATAGTAGGACTTATATCTGAAAATCATTATTATCTCCAAAAGATTCTTACAATCTAAAAATATTTTCTGGCTTTAAATAACCTGCAAAGAGTTGATAAGCCATAAAAAACAAAGCCACGAAGATGCAAGAGGTTACTGAGAGTAAAAGAAACTGAGAAAACATTGAGGAGAGAGGGGATAGTAAAAGACTAGGATTCAAGGAGACAGATGATAATGATTGATGTTGCATTTAAATTTTTGAAGATTGTAGCTAGCAGAAAAGCAAGAAGCTGGAAGTGAGTTCCACAAGCAATAAGTGCAAAAGAATCATTAGCATAGAACTTATGCTTATTGTTTTCCTATGATCAAGGTTTAAAAAGTTTCTAATTTGCCCGTAGAACCTCTCAAACCTTTCCTCCTCCTCCTCTTTCCTCAGTATTATTAGTAAAATCTCAGCTCCCAATTTGGGGTGTTGGGCAGAAAACACCAGAAAATCAATTCTGTGGCAGTAAGGAAGTCTGGTAAAAGAAAAAGAATCAAAACCATAACTTTGGAAGTCTTTATTGATAGAAAACAGTTTTGTATTTCAGTTTGCAATGAGCTGTTCCCTAACTTCTGATGAGTTGACCTAATCATCATATAGCCTGTGATTGCAGGCATAGAGAAGGAGGAGGAGGACACTACTTACATGTGGTACATTCTGAATGACATAATAGGGCCGGCAAGCTGCAGGCCCTGACCACAGCCTTTGGGTTTCAGTCTGTTCCTGGGCAGGCCCTGTTGACCAGGCCCCTTGTATACGTCGACGGCGACGATTGGCATTCTCACTCATTCAAACTGGAAAAAAAAACAAGAATACAGTTGAATAAAGCCAAAATAACTTTGAAATAATATTAATTAAAATACAGAATAATATTAAAATACAAAATAAATTCAAAATAACATTAATTAAAATACAGGTAAAGGTTATTATTTGTTAATCTGATTTTTTTTCAGATCAATGACTAAAAAAAACCTTAAAAAGATAAGGCCTTTAAATTTCAAAGAAGATAATCTTTCATCAGACACTATAGAATGGCGCCACAAAATCACAAAGAATTTTACCAAATAACAAAAACCACATAACTTGAAGAAATGGGTTAGTGCACATAAATTGAAGAGAAATGATGATATAATTAAACTGTTGACATTCCACACTACTGTAAACAAAAGGTCTGTAATGAAACTTTGATCAATACTAGAGAGAGAAGAAGGGGTAATAAAAGTGAACTTAAGAAGTTGGAATTTCATCCTAACAATTTGAATGCAAAAGAAATGAGAGTTATTTGACTCTGTGGACGTAGCATAGTTTATCCAAGCTGTAAATGTTTGAACTGGGAGAACTAAAGAATGAAACTCATCTGAATATTTCCCATTGAAACAATGATAGAGTAGTGACAGGCTTCCTTTGTTGTGTCTAGGAGAAAGATGCTGCAGAATGGCAGGAAAAAAAAGCATCTCCTACAAGACATACACTAAATCCATGATAAAAATTAAAACTGTCAAATTGATAAATTCTAAACACTTCAAATACATTGGTACATGGATCACTTATAGCAAATTTAGTTTAGGAGATAAGGAAATTGAACATAGTTTTGCTAGAGGTACTTTTGTCCAACATCGTAAAATGTCACAAAACCAAGACTGAAACACAAGAGTCATGTTCTTCAATAGCCTCGTTAGATGTAGACTTTCATATGAACATCTACAAAGGATTCTAACTTGTTTAGAAATGTCAAAAAAATCATCTGTATTCAGCTGTTATCTCAGATCAATAATTAAAAATGACTTCAAATGAATGAATCCTATTGATCTTAAAGAAGAATATCCTTTATCAAATTCTACAGGCTGGTACTTCAAAATCACAAAGAGCTTAACCAAATAACAAAAAAAAACAAAAAACATCACCACATTTATGTTCGGTCACTTGTCCAGGTTCCAAAAGTGAGATGGGTTAAGAAATTTTCAGCACCTCTTTGTAGGAATATTTTTTTTCTATTATTATTAGGTAAAGTCATGTCTACAATTCTTCTGATGATATAATGAAATTGTTAACTTTCCACACTATCTTAAACAAAAGTGAACTCCCATCAATAATAGAAAGATAAATGGTAGTGGGTGATAACAGTGGACTTGATAAATTGGAAATTACCCCTAAGAATTTGGATGTGCAAAAAATGAGGGTTATTCAACTCTGTGGATGTAGCATATTTTCTCCTAGCTGTAAAGGTCTGAACTGGGGAAATTAAAAATTGGAAGTCATCTGAACATTTTCCATTAAAACAATGACAGAGTAGTGATAGGCTTGCAATGTTGTGTCTGGGGGGAAAGAGACTGCAGAATAGGGAAAAATATCTCTTACAAGACATACGTGAAATCCATGATAAAAATTAAAAATGTGAAATTGATAAATTCTAAACACTTCAAATACATCAGTGGCTTCAAATTAATGAATCCTATTAATTTTAAAAAAGATTATCCTTTATCAAATTCTATAAATTGGCACTTCAAAATCACAAAGATCTTGACTTCCAAAAAAAAGAAAGAAAGAAAAAGATTTATAAATTTTATCCGACAGTAACACTAACAGTCCAGTATTATTAGTATTTATCAGCATCCCCTATTCACATTAAATTAATAAATTTTATAACACTTCAAAATACATCAGTCAATAATTAAAAATGGCTTCAACCAAATGAATCCCATTAATCTTCAAAAAATGATTTTTATTTTTTATTTATTTGGTCACTTTAGTTCGGATTCTCATTAGTCTATCACACCAACCATCAAGGTCCTGTATCAAGTTCAGAAGGTCATTAGGGTGGCATTCTGTACCATAACATGTCGGTGGTTGCTAGGCAACCGACTTGTCTTGCTCTATGGCTAATTGCCCAGAATGGTAGATGTTTTGCTCACTGGCAGTGTCCTGCAAAGTGCATAAGATTGTAAAATTATCAGGGATGGGGACATAGAGCTGAGATTATAGTTGGATGTTGTCTCCATGAGATGTTAAACATAGCTCTTAACATCTAAATGTGGGTTCCATCAAGCTTGGTGTGTAGGATTTTGCAGTGGCACCTTACATTAATACCGCTTCTACAGTAGCTCGAAAGAATCTCTACTTGAGGTTGTCTAGTAGATCAGATTACTAGATTTTATTTTATTCAAAGCAGCCCAGGTTTTAGCTATCTGAATTTTCACATCCTTCCTACTGAAAAAAGATGATCTTTTATCAAATTCTATAGAGTGGTGCTACTCAATCACAAAGAGCTTGACCAACCAGATAACAAAAACTACATTATGTATGGTCATTTTTTCAGATTTGAAAAGTGAACTGTAAGAAATTTTCAGCACCTCTTTGTAGGAGTAATATTTAGAAGTTTTTTTTGTTTTTTTATTATTATTAGGTAAAACCTTGTCTGCAATTCTTCTGAAGATATGATTAAATTGTTAATTTTTCAGACTACTGTAAACAAAAGGTTTGGAAGGAAATTCCCATCAATACTAGAGAGAGAGAATGGTGGTGGGTGGATAACAGTAGACTTGAGAAGTTGGAACCTTACCCTAACAATTTGAATGCAAAAGAAATGAAGTCTATTTGACTCCATGGATTTAGCTGTAAAGGTCTGATTTGGGAAGTGAGTTGCATTAAGAAATTTTCAGCATCTCTTTAAAGGAGTAATATTTAAAAAAAAATTTTTTTCTAGTATTATTTGGTAAAGTCTACAATTCTTTTTCTATGTGTCATGTCCCTTCAGGATGTTGGCAATCCTGGTTCTTTGCGGCTCTTTGTAAATTTTGGCTTTTTGCTATCTCTCCTAAACCCTGTTCTGCCAACCATTTACATAAGTTTATTAGGTAGGTTATGCACTGTTTTCCTCTGTCCTTTTTACCTTCAATGTCCTGTGAGTGTCAAATTTACTCAGACATCTTTCCTCACTATATGCCTTAGAAATTTCAATTCTCTCTCTCTTTTTCTGAAGAATCTGCAATATTATTGGTCCAAACACCTCAACTTCAGTCACTTTCCCACTGCCATAATGTAGCTTTGCCCTGACTTTTCTATAAATACTTTCATAGTAATTGTTCTGAAGAACATTCCTCTATGGTACCTAGGCTTTATGAAGGAAGCAGATACACGTAATTCTGTTCCACAAATTGTTCAACATTCAATCACTTAATACTTTGTTTAGTTTCTAAAAGGCATGTTTCTATATTCCTATACATTTCATTAGCTGCATCTACTGCAAGGAAAGCTGGGTTGCTGTATTGGGCCCCAAAATTTTTCTTGTCAGAATCCACCTTGCATATTTACAAATCTACCATTCATCTGTGCATTGAATACTGCTGGCATATCTGGTCTGGTACTCCTGCTATTTATCTCAAAATTTTTGATAAAATCCAAAGAAGGATCTGTAATGTAATCAATCCTGACTTGACATCTCAACTTTAGTTACTTTCTCACTGATTCAACATGGCTTCCTTCTGTCTTTTTCTACAAATATTTTCATGGCAATTGCTCTGATGAGCTTTTTTTTCCCTGGTGCCCCTGTATACATGATCGCCAATACACATTGAGAAAATAAATCAAAATAAAATTGAATAAATATTAACTTGTTGGTTTGGTTTTAATTTTTTCTGACTATCTGAGTTATTTCTTTCAAAACTATTTGTGTAGTCCAGAAAAGGACAGTTTGTATTTTTCTGAGCTTATGGGCATCCGAGGTGTCTAAACTCAATGAAATCTGGAGAAAGTACAGAACCATATGGAACTTAGAGGAACATTATTTAAGATTAATTTCCCTTTGTTGCAATCTGCTATTAGATAGACATTATCTCTGCGGTAAACAAATAAATCCCAATTTGATCCGATTTTATTTGTTGTGACTTCTGGGAAAAAAAATCCTGGGTTGAGTTCAAAACTAAAGTATAAGACACAGCAGACTTTTGGACATGATTCAGGATGAAAAAAAAAAATGAATTTTATACACACTGGATTACAGTGTATATATATATATATATATATATATATATATATATATATATATATATATATATAAACTATAAATCCTTTGTGTATAGATTGTTAGGGAGTATAAGACACAGTTAAAAAAAACAGAGAAATTACAGAAATTTCATGTATAAAATGTGCCTTATTTTAGAGCAAAGAAAATGACTAAAACTTGTGAAAAAGGAAGAGAAAAAATTATAAAAAAACAGGACATATTGTTTATTTACAAAAATGTGATAATGACACTTGGGGGATAATACTACTAAATTGACAATGCACACTGAGAAAATAAATAGAAATAAAACTGAGTGAAAATAAACTTGTTTGTTTTGGTTTTAATTATGAAAAATTTATTTCCCTTTATTGCAATCCATCAGATAGATATTATCTACCCAGTAAACAAATAAATCCAATTTGACCCAATTTTGCTTGTTTTGAGTCCTGTAATAAATAGGATTGAATTCTAGACTAAAGTACAAAATACAGCAGACATTTCAACTTGATTTTGGATAGCAAAACCTGCATCTTATACACAGACCAGGGAGCAAACCTTGAGGGATGACTGCATTGATTTCATGGACCAAGGAGGACAGGCTCTTAGCAACTAACTTCATGGACCTATCTGTTAGGAAGGACTTGAGAAGGAATTGAGAAAACACTTGCAATAATTCCATATTTGGAAGTTTTATCTTTCTGTTGGGGTGTCCTATGCACATCTTACACAAGAGGTTTGGTAGATACTATGGTATCAATATATAGATTAATATATAGGTACTATGGTATCAAT